ATGTTCGTGTTTCTTGACCGAGCTAGGAGGGGAGCGGACCAGAACATCTCTGCTGGAGGCTGAGGTGGGCTGGGGTGCCTGCCCCCCAGCTCTGCAGCCAGGCACAGCTCTGTAAGGGACGTGTGGCCTTCCTCCCCTGCCTGGGGAGGCGTGTGCTGCTTTCTTCAAGTCCAAACTTTTTCCTCAAGCCCTCATTTCCAGCTTCTGAAGCCTGCATGGAGGTGCAGAGAGGTCTTTGCTGCTGCTAATGAGCAGGATGGAGGTGGTTCAGTGTGATTGTGGTGCTCTGGGCAGCAGTGTACAAGGAAGCTTCAGGTAAACAGTGAGAGCTGTTCATCACCTAATGCGGTGAGGGAGCACAAAGGCTGTGCTGTGCCTGTGCTTGAGCCTGCTGCTGCTGTCAGTGGGTGTGTGCGTGCAGCAGAAGCTCTGAGGAAGCACAGCTGCAGTCAGCTGATGGCCCTGGGCAGGACCTGCCCTTGGCTTGCAGCCTTGGGGCTGACGGAGCTCTGCTGGGGAGCTGCAAATGTTCTGTGCCAACAACCACAGCTCCTGGGGGCTTCGTCCTGCGTCCAAGGTCTTGGCACGCTCTGCTCCTGCTGCTTTTCCTTAAAAGCTTCTTGGGTGTGAGATTGCAGCCCCGCAGCTGTGGGATGGGGAAAGGTCTGGAGCAGCGCAGTGACCAGGTTCCTAATGCATGGCTAAAGCTGAGGGCTGCTGGTGTGTGGGCTCCAAAAACCACAACTGGGACCCTCACCTGCTGTATGGGGTGCTGCTCGTTTCCACCCCCTGCGCTGGAGCCTGGCTGCTCACCTGCTGGAGGAGCTCAGGACCCTTGGGGTTGTCTGAGATCCCATCGCTTTCGGTACCCGTGGATTCCCCCAGAGCAGGACCTGTCGGGCAGGAGCTTCCCTGCTCCCACCTTCAGCAATTCTGTGAACACAAAGCAAGGTGCTGTTGCCATCTGCTGGCTTTTTGCACAAGCCTTCTTGGTTGACGGGGCTTAATTTCTGGCTCCTTCCTTGCCTCTTGGGTTCCCACCTCCCCAAAGGAGCCTGCGGTGCCCCAAGGGGCTTGCTGCTGCCCCAACCTCTGTGGTTTGGCTGGGATTTGGGGCAGGGGCTGTGCCCCGCAGAGGCTCTGTGCCCCTGGCACTGTGCTGCCATGGGGAAGGGCTGTCTGAGCTCCGAGCAGCCTTGGCACAAACAGACGTGCCTGCCTGCACGCCTGCTGCCTGCCCGGACCTGGCCACGAGTCCCGTGGTGGTGGCACGCTGTGCTTCACCCTCCCTGCTGCTGGCATCCCAGAGACATCTCCAGCAGCCCCTTGCCAAGCTGCCTGGGGGAAAACTGGCTGTAATGGGGAAATGGGGACAGCCTGTTCCTAAATAGGTCCTCCAGCACGGTCACCTTCCTATTTAGTGGCATTATTCAGGGGTGTGAGGGCTGCGGAGCTGGTGGAGGTGCTGGGGGCAGGGGGTGAAGGCAGCTCCCTGGCAGTGCTGGAGAACAGGGCTGAATTCCCCCATCCTGAGCTGCGTGGTGCTGGCAGATCCCTTCCCTTGAGGTCTGCTGTCAACCCTATTTTGTGCTCCCCAGAGGCACCAAGGAGCAGAGGGGCTTTTCCCTCTCTGTATCCACTGAGAGCTGAGCCCAGCGCCTCGCCTCCCCATCAGTCATCCCCCCCCCCAAAAAAAGCACAACAACCATATTCTATGCAAAAGTATTTTTATTGGGTACAAAAGCAACATTCCAGTATAGTGAAAAACATGACATCAGTGCTGATGGAGCTTGTCCGGGCTAGAACCCGACGCTTGCTGCTGGCTCCTCTGGTCCCCGTGCGGGCCATCGGGTCCGGTCCCATCACGCCTGGGTTTTGCTGGCGTCCTCAGGGGCTGCTCCAGGCTGTGGGGCTGCGGGGCTGACCTGGATGGGCACGTTCCTCTCGGGGGCAGCCGGCAGGGCCAGCCGGGGGGCTTCGATGCGGAGCTGCCCCTCCTTGGACAGGGAGCAGCTCAGGGCTTCGGCGTCCACCTCCTCGGGCACGTCCCACTCGCGCTTCAGCACCTCGTACTTGTAGGAGAAGGAGCCCTTCTCGTCGACGTTCTGCGTCTCCTTCTGCCCCACCAGCACCACCTTCCTGCCCACCACCTTCACCGACAGCTCCTCGGGGGCAAAGTTCTTCACGTCCTGGCAGACGGAGAAACCCTCCCCGGAGCCCTGGGTGGCGACCGCGTTGGCTGCTCGGGGCTCGCTCGGCGGCGATGGGACCTTGGCTGCTCAGGAGCTGCTCGAAGCTGCTCATGAACTGCCGAGCTTTCTCCATCTCCTGCTGCAGCTCGCTGAAGATGGTCTCGGCGTGCGGCCAGAGGGTCTTCACCGTGCCCAGCCGGGTGGCCAGGGAGCTGGAGGCGAATGGAGCGAGGTGCATTCGGCAAAGCATCGCTGCTGCTGGTCCTGGTGCTGCTTCTGCTGCTTCTGCTGCTGCTCTCGGGCTCTTTCCTCTTCTGGAGGCTGGGAGCGCTATGTCCCGGCTCCGCCGCCTGCAGCTTTTATTTCCCTGCCCGGGAGGAGTGGCCTCGTCCCTTGCGTGGCGTCATCCTTCGGGAGAAGAGCAGAGCTCTTTCTGGCCCGTTCCAGCTCATTCTTGTTACTCATCGCAGAGGAGAGGCGCCTCTTACCTCATGGCCAGCATACCTTCGCCCTTACTGTTGCAGCGCTGCTCTCCTGGATTATAATTAGCAGCATCACCTCAGCCTCCAAACGAGATGCCTGAGCCACCCCTGCCAAAAATCTCTGGCCTTTCTGGTTCCCAGGCAGGGAGCGGGGCTGGGCTCCTCTCCTCGCTGCCTCTCCCTCCCCTCACCGTGGCCCATTCCCTGCGTTTTCTGCCCCCCACCCCACTCACAGGACCCCCCACAACCCCATATCCCATGCATGGGGGGAGAGTTGCCCACCCCGGGACCCCCAGGTGACACCAAAGCAAGCCACAAGACCCCCCCCCCAGCAGGCAGGGTACACAGGCCACTGTGTTGGGGGGCTGGTACGGGTGTCCCCAGCACGGGGGGGGGCTGGAAAGTGCGAGAGGTGTCCTGGCAGCAGTGACGCAGGGACACGTAGCCATAGGGGGTGGGACCAGTCCCGCTTGCTGAAGCGAGCACAACATAACTCGTGCTGTAGCACGGGGCCACGGAGAGGGCTTTGTTGGCCCCCCCCCCCAAGTCCCCGGGACCAGCGGTCCCATGTGCTGCATCACGGTGGCTCTGCAGAAACCTGAGCCCCCGGCGGTGAGCGCAGCGCCCTATTTGGGGCGGGTGACTCGTCCCCAGAAGCAGGCGCTGCTATTTCGGCTGCCGGCTAATCAGCCTCTCAAAAATAGGCGATGGCTCCAGGAGGGTGCGTGGGGAGAGAGAGAGCGTTCTGGAAGGGGCACACCCCTGGGGAGGCGAGGATAAAACCCGCGCGTCCCAGCCCCAGCCCAGCACCGCTCCAGCCCCCGCGCAGAGCTCCAGACGCAGCACAGCACCAGCAGCAGAGATGCTTTGCCGCCTGCACTTCATGCCTCCCACCTCTGGGTCCCTTTTCCCATGGCTGGGACCCATCCGCACCCTCTGGCCGCATCCAGACACCCTCTTCGCTGAGCTGGAGAGAGAAATACGGATGGAGATGGAGAGGGCTCGGCAGTTCATGAGCAGCTTCGAGCAACTCCTGAGCAGCGGGAGCAGCCCCTGGCCGTGCCAGCATCACCGCCGAGCGAGCCCCGAGCACCAGCGCTGCCCTGACCCAGGGCTCCGGGGAGGGCTTCTCCGTCTGCCAGGACGTGAAGGACTTTGCCCCCGAGCAGCTGTCGGTGAAGGTGGTGGGCAGGAAGGTGGTGCTGGTGGGGCAGAAGGAGACGCAGAGCACGGACGAGAAGGGCTCCTTCTCCTACAAGTACGAGGTGCTGAAGCGCGAGTGGGACGTGCCCGAGGAGGTGGACGCCGAAGCCCTGAGCTGCTCCCTGTCCAAGGAGGGGCAGCTCCGCATCGAAGCCCCCCGGCTAGCCCTGCCGGCTGCCCCCGAGAGGAACGTGCCCATCCAGATGCCACCGGCGGTAGCACAGCAGGCGGCCGGCGCCGAAGATGGAACCGAGAGGGCCAAGGCGTGATGGGGAGCGCCGCGGGGCCGGGCTGAGCCCGGCTGCTGGGGCAGCCGCCGGCCGCAGAGCGGGGCCGTGCCGGCCCAACGTGGGTCATGGGGGGGGTCTTTGGCCAAAGCGCGTGGATTTTTTTGATATTTAATAAATATTTGTGACTTTTACACATGTGGCTCGTGAGTTTCTGAACTGCCTGACCCCAACCTCGCTGTGCTCATCGAGCAGCCGGGGGCACAGCCGTGGCCCCCCCTTCCCCTTGGTGGAGGAGGGCGGCTGGGGGGGCTCCGTCCCTCGTTTGGCCCCCAGCAGCCCCCCCTGCAGCCCGGGTGGCAGCACCCTTGGGTGCCCCAGCACCCTGGGGGGACGCAGCCTTGGGATTTTGGGGCTGGGGCTGCGGCACCCAAGCCGTGCCCCGTGCCCCCCCCCGCGCCATTGCTGGCACCTTCCAGGCGCCGCCGGGCTTGGCGCGAACCTCTCGGCCGCCAAGCCACGCCCCCTAATGGAATCCGCGCGTGTATTTCCATATATGGGCAAAGGGGCGGGCCCTCTCATATAGAGCGCGGGAACGGGGCGGGGCCACACCCATATTGGGCGCAGGAGGCGTGGCGAGCCAGGTGGGCGTGGCCTCACCGACGCTCTACCAGGCGAGAGGCGTGGCTCACACCCATATATGGCCAAATAGGGCGTGGCCTCGCTCCATATTAGGCGAAGTGGGCGGGGATGTGGGCGTGGCCACATTCCATATTTGGCAGCGCAGCGCGGGGCGCTCAGCTCCCGCCACCACGGCCCCAGGGGGCACCGTCCCCGGCCCCGTCCCCGGCTCCCCTCGCTCGGTGCCCACCCCGGGGGCGGCCCCGCGTTACCGGGCCCGTAACCGGAGCCACCCCCCACCTCGGGGACTATGGGACCGCGGTGGGACCCGGCTTCGCTCCTCGGGGACCGGGACACGGAGCCCGCAACCCCCCCGGGGGGGGCAGCGGAGCCCCGGCGCCGCCTCCCCGGGATCCCCGGGGGGTTCCCCCCGGGGCCGCCCCCGTTCCTCTCCCGGACTACCGGTCCCGGCGTGCCCGGCGCGCAGGCGCAGTGCTGGCGGAGCGCACGCCGGGCTCGGCATGGCGGAGCCGGAGGCCGCGCAACCCGGGAGACCCCCCCCGGGTCCCGGAGCAACGGCGGCGGCGGCACCGAGCGGGGGAACCGGGAGCGGCAGCGGTGGAGCTCCCGGTGCGGCGGCGGCGGCGGCGGTGTCCGGGGGGGGAGCGGGTTCCAGCGATCCGGCCCGGCCCGGGCTCAGCCAGCAGCAGCGGGCGAGCCAGCGCAAGGCGCAGGTGCGCGGCTTCCCCCGCGGCAAGAAGCTGGAGAAGCTGGGGGTGTTCTCGGCGTGCAAGGTGCGAGCCGGGGTGGGGGGGGTAAAGGGGGGTGTGGGGGGTAATGGGGGTAAAGGGGGGGGTGAGGGGTGAGGGATGGGGGTGCTGAGTCCGGTGGGAGCAGGGTGCTGGGCAGAGCGGGGGGGTGCGGGGTTGTGCATGGGTAAAGGGTGTAGGAATGGGGTGCTGAGCTGGATGGGGTGTGGGGCTGTGCATGGGTTAGGGGTGTAGGAGTGGGGTGCTGAGCTGGGCACATGGGGTGCAGAGCAGTGTATGGGCAGGGGGTGCAGGAGCAGGGTGCTGAGCTGAGCAGGATGGGGTGCGGGGTTGTGCATGGGTTAGGGGTGCAGGAATGGGGTGCTGAGCTGGGCAGGGGGTGCAGGAGCAGGGTGCTGAGCTGGACAGGAACAGGGTGCTGAGCAGGAGGGAGTGTGGGGCTGTGCATGGGCAGGAGGTGCAGGAATGGGATGCTGAGCCAGGCAGGGGGTGCACGAGCAGGGTGCTGAGCAGAGCAGGAGGGGGTGCAGGGTTGTGCACGGGCAGGGGGTGCAGGAACGGGGTGCTGAGCCATGCAGGGGGTGCAGGAGCAGGGTGCTCAGCAGGACGGGATGTGGGGCTGTGCATGGATTAGGGGTGTAGGAATGGGATGCTGAGCTGTGCTGGATGGGGTTCAGAGCAATGCATGGGCAGGTGGTGCAGGAGCAGGGTGCTGAGCTGAACAGGAGGGGGTGCAGGGTTGTGCACGGGTAAGGAGTGCAGGAACGGGGCGCTGAGCTGGGCGGGATAGGGTGTGGGGCTGTGCACGGGCAGGGGGTGCAGGAACGGGGTTCTGAGCCATGCAGGGGGTGCAGGAGCAGGGTGCTGAGCTGGGTAGGAGTAGGGTGCCGAGCCGTGCATGAGCAGGGGCATGCAGGAACAGGGTGCTGAGCTGAGCAGGAGGGGGTGCAGGGTTGTGCATGGGTAAGGGGTGCAGGAATGGGGTGCTGAGCTGGGCAGGATGGAGTGTGGACTGTGTGGGTAGGGGGTGCGGGAACGGGATGCTGAGCCAGGCAGGAGGTGCAGGAGCAGGGCGCTGAGCAGGATGGGGTGTGGGGCTGTGCATGGGCAGGGGGTGCAGGAGCAGGGTGCTGAGCCATGCAGGAGGGCGTACGGGGCTGTGCATCAATAAGGGGCACAGGAGTAGGGTGCTGAGCCGGGCAGGGGGTGCAGGATGGGGGAGCCGAGCTCTGCAGGATCCTGGGGGTGCAGACGGGGGGGCGGTGAGGATGTTTGGGGTGAGATGGGTGCTTCGGGGTGGGAAGGGAAGCTTCTCAGCCCCCAAAGGCAGCAGCCCTGGCACCGGGCAGTATGTGGGGCTGCTGCGTGATGCCCTCCCTGTCCATCGTCCCAGGCCAACGATGCCTGCAAGTGCAACGGCTGGAAGAACCCCAACCCCCCCACGGCCCCCCGCATGGACCTGCAGCAACCGGTGACCAACCTGAGCGAGCCCTGCCGCAGCTGCAGCCACGCGCTGGGTAACCCCAAACCCTGCCCCTAACCCTCAGGACCCCCCCAGGACCCCCCCCCGGAACCGGGATGTGGGGGGGGGTCTCACCGCAGTGCTCTCCTCGCTGCAGCCGACCACGTGTCCCACCTGGAGAACGTCTCGGAGGAGGAGATCAACCGGCTGCTGGGCATGGTGGTGGACGTGGAGAACCTCTTCATGTCGGTGCACAAGGAGGAGGACACGGACACCAAGCAGGTCTACTTCTACCTGTTCAAGGTGCGTCTGGGGCTGGCCGGCTGCCTACCCTCTCTTCTGACCTCCTGGGACTTTTTCTTTTTTAATTTGGGGCTGTGATGTGTCCCACCAGCCCCGCTTTCACCCCATAAACCCACCTTGTTCCCATGCGCTGCCTGCTGCCCCGCGTTGGGTTCTCCTGGGACGGGGATTTCCAGGATGCGTTAAACAAGTGATGAGGCCTCACGGGCTTTTTTGCAGCTCCTCAGGAAGTGCATCCTGCAGATGAGCCAGCCGGTGGTCGAGGGGTCGCTGGGGAGCCCCCCTTTTGAGAAACCCAACATCGAGCAGGTGAGGCTCGCAAGCCGTGCCGGTGCCTTGTCCTCATCCCGCACTGCTCTCGGTGGTCCCGGCGCTTGCACCCTCTGTGGTGGGCAGCACCGAGGGGCTGCTGTTCCTTTCCCCAGCCTACCCTGTGGTTTTCAGCCCCAGCTTGTTCCCCTGGTTGTGCAAACAGCAGGGCTTTTTGCTTCATGGTGCAAACTCGGGCTCCAGCTCTCCGCTCTGACCCTAAGAGTGGGCAACTGGAGAGGGCTGGGGTGCCTGGGGTCGGGCGCGCTGAGCAGCGGTGCGGTGATGGCCAGCGATGGCCCACCCTGCTCCTGCTTTTTCTCCCTTTTTCTCCAAATTTGCAAGTGCCTGGGAGTGGCTGCCCCAGCCCTGAGCTCTCCAGCGCTCCCGTGCCTGTGGTTTTTACCCCCCCCGGTGCCCATCCACCACTCCCCTTTTCCTCTCCCCTAGGGAGTCCTGAACTTCGTGCAGTACAAGTTCAGCCACCTGCCCCCCAAGGAGCGGCAGACCATGTACGAGCTCTCCAAGATGTTCCTGCTCTGCCTCAACTACTGGAAGCTGGAGACGCCGTCCCAATTCCGGCAGCGCTCGCAGAACGACGACGTGGCCACCTACAAGGTCAACTACACCAGGTGAGGGATGGGGGCAGGCAGAGGGGGGACACCTCGCATCCTCCGCCTCTCCCCAGCTCTCCCAGAGCTGGAATCCAGATGTTGTGCTCCCAAATAACGTGGGCCACTGAGCCCCGTGGGTCTCTGCTTCCCAAGGAGGGCTTCGTGCAGCCAGTCCCAGGAGGGATGCTGAAGCTCTCCTGTCCCCCCAGGTGGCTGTGCTACTGCCACGTGCCGCAGAGCTGCGACAGCCTCCCCCGCTACGAGACCACTCACGTCTTCGGGCGCAGCCTCCTCAAGTCCATCTTCACCGTCACCCGCCGGCAGCTGCTGGAGAAGTTCGGGTGGAGAAGGACAAGCTGGTGCCGGAGAAGCGGACGCTCATCCTCACCCACTTCCCCAAGTAGGTGCCCGAGGCGGGGGTGCCGTCGGTGAGGCTGTGCCCAGCTCCCCGGGGCTGTGGGCATCCAGCTCCTGCCCCTGCCTGATGCGTGGCTCCTCTCCAGGTTCCTGTCCATGCTGGAGGAGGAGATTTATGGTGAGAATTCGCCCATCTGGGAGGCGGATTTCACCAGTGCCCGCCGCCGAGGGTGCCCAGCTGGTGTCGCGCCCAGGTACCTCGGGGAGCAGCTCCCTGGGGCTTGGGGGGGGGGTGAAGGAGTGGGGTCAGGAGACGGCTGGGATGCTGCCCAGTGTGGACGAGGTGCCTTCCAGTCCATCGTGGGTGTCCCATGGGGGGTGTTTGTCCCTCCTCCAGCTGCCGTCAGCACCGTGGCCGTGCCCACCACGCCGCTCTTCAGCAAGAAGCTCAGTACCAGCAGCTCTGCTGCCAGCATGGACACCGGCACGCCAGAACCCATGGCAGGTAGGGCCAGTTTAGGGAGGAGAGGGACCCTCCTCGGAGGTCCTGGGGGGGCTCCTTGAGTCCCGGTGGGGCTCCTCGGGGTCCCGGTGCTTGAGATGCTGCCCCCCGTCCCTAGGGGAGAAGCGAAAGCTGCCCGAGAGCCTAACGCTGGAGGACGCCAAGAGGATCCGCGTGATGGGCGACATCCCCATGGAGCTGGTGAACGAGGTGATGCTGACCATCACCGACCCCGCTGCCATGCTGGGCCCCGAGGTACGGCGCTACCGGGGGGCACTTGGGGTGCCGCGGGTGGGCTCCGAGGTCCCCGTGCCACCCAAGCCCCTGGAAGAGGACGGAGGGGGGTCAGAGCTGCTCCCCCCCTCCTCGCCCCGCAGACCAGCCTGCTGTCGGCCAACGCGGCGCGGGACGAGACGGCGCGGCTGGAGGAGCGGCGAGGCATCATCGAGTTCCACGTCATCGGCAACTCGCTGTCGCAGAAGTCCAACAAGAAGATCCTGATGTGGCTGGTGGGCTTGCAGAACGTCTTCTCCCACCAGCTGCCCCGCATGCCCAAGGAGTACATCACCCGCCTCGTCTTTGACCCGTGGGTGGCTGGCTTTGGGGGAACACACACAGGACAATTGGGGGCTGGTTTTGGGGTCTCCCCGTCTCACCCTGGGCTTTGCAAACCCCCCCAGGAAGCACAAGACTCTGGCTCTCATCAAGGACGGGCGAGTGATCGGGGGGATCTGCTTCCGCATGTTCCCCACCCAGGGCTTCACCGAGATCGTCTTCTGCGCCGTGACGTCCAACGAGCAAGTGAAGGTGGGCTCGGGAGGGGGGGCTGTGGGGGGGGGCAGGATGGTGCTGTGCCAGCTCTGGGGGGGTGCCAGTGCTGGGGTGGGAGTGGGAGCCCTGTAGGCGTTGCCTTGCCATGCGTGGCGGAGGGGTCCTGGCACCCTTGGGGGGGACCTTGGGGAGTGGGGGGGGGGGCTTGGGGGGCCCCCCCAGCTCACAGAGGCTCCCCCAGGGCTACGGGACGCACCTGATGAACCACCTGAAGGAGTACCACATCAAGCACAACATCCTCTACTTCCTCACCTACGCCGACGAGTACGCCATCGGCTACTTCAAGAAGCAGGTGGGCTCCTTCCCCTGCTGGGGCTCCCCCCTCGGCCTCGTTCCCCTGCCTGTGAGCCCCCTCCCACCCCCCTAATCCCCCCCCCTCAGGGCTTCTCCAAGGACATCAAGGTCCCCAAGAGCCGCTACCTGGGCTACATCAAGGACTACGAGGGGGCGACGCTGATGGAGTGCTGAGCTGAACCCCCGCATCCCCTACACCGAGCTGTCCCACATCATCAAGAAGCAGAAGGAGGTGCTGCTTTTTTTTTGGGGGGGGGGCTGCCAGGATCTGCTCGCTCTGACCCATCCCAAACCCAAGGGGATGGGGACCCCAAGAGGGCGGTGATGGGGACCGCATGGGGGGGTGGGTGGGAGCCATCCCTTGAATAACCCCATCACCTCCCCTTTTGGGGTCCCCAAAGGGTGGCATCTTCCCTGGAAATGGGTTTGCAGGGTAGCAAAAGGGTCACTTTGGGGATTTCTTTAGGACTTCCAGGGGCAGGGCTGGCCCTGGGCAGGAGGAGGGCACAGCCTCGTTCCTTGGATCTGTGGGGGGGGTACCTGGAGCATCCTGCGGTGCCCGCTGATGTTTTTCCCCCCTTTCCCACTGCAGATCATCAAGAAGCTGATCGAGAGGAAGCAGGCGCAGATCCGCAAGGTGTACCCGGGGCTCACCTGCTTCAAGGAGGGCGTGCGGCAGATCCCCATCGAGAGCGTCCCCGGCATCCGTGAGTCCAGTGGATGGAGGGTCCTCGGGGGGGGGGGGGCGGCAGGGCCTCATCCTGACCTCAGATGGCTGAGGGCAGGGCTTTGGGGTGATGCTGAGCCTTGTTCTTCCAGGAGAAACGGGTTGGAAACCTCTAGGGGAAGGAGAAAGGGTGAGTGGTGCCGGCAAGCAGCGGTGCCAGGGGGGGCTCCTGGTTCGTGCCCCCTGCAGCCCCCCCAGGCTGATGGGCTCTGTGCTGATGGGCCCTGCTCTGTGCTGATGGCCCTGCTCTGTCCTGCAGCAAAGAGCTGAAGGACCCGGACCAGCTCTACAACACCCTCAAGAACCTCCTGGCTCAGATCAAGGTGGGCAGCGGGGGCGCGCTGCGGCGCCCTTCACCCCATCCCCGTCCCCTTGGGGGGGGGGGGGGAAGGCAGGATGTGAGCCCAGCACGGCTCCCCAGCTCTGCTTGGGTTGTGGATGGGTTATTTTGGGGAGCAGGACCCCTGGGTGCTGGGGCAAGGAGGGTGCTGACCCCCCCTCGTGGTAACCTCTGCCCCCTCCCCAGACCCACCCCAGCGCGTGGCCCTTCATGGAGCCGGTGAAGAAGTCGGAGGCGCCGGACTACTACGAAATCATCCGCTTCCCCATCGGTGGGTGCCAGGGGTCCAGGGGGGGCTGCAGTGATCCCAAGCATGGGGGGGGCATGGTGGGGAGGGGGGGTTGCTGTTGGGGTGCTGGGATGTCCATGGAGTGAGGTAGAAGAGAGAGGGACCCCTTGGGGACCTCTTGGGGACCCCTTGGGGACCCCTGCGTGTGTCTGGCTTGGGATCCCACTGGGTGGGGGGCACGGGGGTGTGCTGGGGGGGGTCCTGACCCTTTCCCCCAGACCTGAAGACGATGACGGAGCGCCTGAAGAACCGCTACTACGTCACCAAGAAGCTGTTCATCGCCGACCTGCAGCGCATCATCACCAACTGCCGCGAGTACAACCCCCCCGACAGCGACTACTGCAAGTGTGCCAACACCCTGGAGAAGTTCTTCTACTTCAAGCTCAAGGAGGGGGGGCTCATCGACAAGTAGGGGGGGTGGGCCTGGACTCCTGGGGCCGCCAGATCTCCCCCCCAGGTCCTTGCCTGCAGCTGGGGAGGGGCAGGGGTGCCCTCTCCCCAAGGAGAGGAGAGAGGGACCCCCCCGCCTCTGAGCCCTCTGAGCAGGGTTTGCTGCTGCTGAACAGCCTGGGGGGGTTCAGTGTGCTCCCTCTGGGGGGGTCCGGGGTTTATCCCTGTCCTGGCAGCCCCCCTACTCCTGGGGGAATGTTGAGGGGCTGGGGGGGGTCGGAGCAGAGCTGCCTTGCTGCCTCCCCCCTGGGGCTGTGCCTTCTGCCTCCTGTGTCTCAGTGCCAGGGCAGGGCCCCCCCCCCTCTGCGTCCTGATGCCAGGGCAGGGCCCCCCCCCAATGCTTTGGGTTTCTGCAGGGACTTTGCTTCCTGCTCCCGTCCACGCACAGGCAGCGCCTGCCCCTCTTGAATGTATGGCAGGACCCCCCCCCCAGCCCTCTGTGGGGCAGAGACCCCGCTCCTGGGCTCGGGGAGGGGGGGTCCCTGCTCCTGCTGCCTCTCCATCAGCTCTTCCCTTGGGGCAGGGGCTCTGCACCATCTCCCCCTCCCCTTGCTGGGGACACTCGGGGGGGTCCCATCCTGGTTCCTGCTCCCCCTTGCTCTGCCCCGGCTCTGAGCCAGCTTCAGCACGGGGCTGGGGGGCTGGCTCTTGCTCGCATCCCTTCCTCGCCCCCCCTCCTTGTCCCCATTTGCCCCCTGGGAGCAGGGCTGGGGCGTAGCATTAATTTATCCCCTGCTTGGTCGCCTGCTGCCTTATTGCCCGTGGCTGTCCTTCATGGGGGGGGGGTGCTGGTCCCACTCTGGGGCCTTACTGGCCTTGCTGGGGGGGGACCAGACCCTGTCCAGCCCTTCCTGTCCACCCATTCCATGTGACTTTTTTTTTTTTATTTGGGTTGTTGTTGTGTTTTTTGTTTGTTTATTTTTTTTAATAAATGTACTTGTGCACACCCAGCTGCCCCCTTGTGTCTGGCCCTGCACTGAGCCCCCCCCAAACCTCAGAGGAGGAGGTGGGGGGGGGAGAGCTCCAGGGCCGCTGGGTGCTGTGATGGGGGGGCACTGGGATGAACTGGGTGGGCACTGGGATGAACTGGGGGGGCGTGGATGTGGATTTTGGTGCACGGGGGTGGGAGGTGCACAGGGGGAAGGGGAGGGTGCAGGGGGCTGGGGGTGCACCAGGCTCAAGTGGGGGGTGTGAAGGGGCTGGGGGGGCACTGGTTTGAACTGGGGGGGTGGAGATAGATGGGTGGGGGTGCACTGGGCTGAACTGGGAGGCGTGGCTGGGAGCAGGGAAAAGCTGCGTCTGCAGCAGCTCCTCCTGCTTTCGGTTTCTGTTCCCGATTGGGGCGGGGACGGGGATTGGGAATCGGGGCGAGCCGGCAGCTTGGCGCAGCAAAACTTGGTTTGGCTCGGCTCCCTTCACCCCAAACCCACTCAGCCGTGCGTCCCAGCCCGACATCGCGACCAAGAGGCATCTCCCTAGAGGTTTCATTTCCTACCGGTGTCACCCATGGAGCTGCGCGGGTACCAGCACGAAGCCGTGGCCCCAGCCTTGCGTGGCCGCAACAGCATCATCTGGCTGCCCACGGGGGCTGGCAAGACCCGTGCCGCCGTCCACGTCTGCTGGAAGCACCTGGAGAGCCGCCAGGGATGGCAGGGTGGCCGTGCTGGTCAACAAGGTGGCCACAGGGTCCCTGTCCCCACCACCCTTGGAGATAACGGGGTGGGAGGGTAAAGCACCGGTGGTCCCGGCTTGGAGCTGACGGGGTCGGGGTGTGTGTAGGTGCACCTGGTGGAGCAGCACGCCAAGGAGGAGTTCCACGTCCTGCAGGGCACCTTCAGGGTGACGGCCATCAGCGGGGACAGCAGCCACAAGTGCTTCTTCAGCCAGGTGGTGAAGCGCAGCGACGTCGTTATCTGCACGGCCCAGATCCTGCACAACGCCCTGCTGAGCCGGGAGGAGGACACGCGCGTGGAGCTGACGGGTGGGCACGGGACCCCCATGGCTGGGACCCCCCCAAGGCTGGGACACTCCCCTGGCTGGGACATCTCACCATGGCTGGGACCTCCACACTACTGGGACCCCCCCCCCGGCACGTCCTGCGCTGCTCACCCCGCTCTCCTCCCTCTCCCCGGTGCAGATTTCTCCCTGTTGGTGATTGACGAGTGCCACCACACGCACAAGGAGGCCGTCTACAACAAGATCATGCTGAATTACCTCCAGCGCAAGCTCAGCGGGCAGCAGGACCTGCCGCAGATCCTGGGCCTGACGGCGTCCCCTGGCACCGGGGGGAAAACGTCCTTCGAGGGGGCCGTGGAGCACATCCTGCAGGTGGGCGCTGCGCCCCCAGCCTGGGGTTCGGTGGGGTTTGGTGGGGTTCAGAGGGGTGCGTGGTGGTGGTGCTGGGTGCCAGCGAGCACCCGGCGCCGTGCTGGGCTGCTGGGGCTCAGGGTTGGGTTTTGGGGCTCTCCCCTTTTAGATTTGTGCCAACCTGGACACCGAGGTGATCACGTCGGCGCAGGAGCACATGCAGAACCTGCAGAGACAAGTGCCCCAGCCCAGGAAGCAGTACGACCTGTGCCAGGAGAGAGCATGGGTGAGGGCGGCAGGTTGAGCCCACAGCATTGCCCCCAGGCCCTGCTGAGCTGGGGGGGGGGGGTCCTCCTTGGATGCCTGGGGGGCTCCTGGAGTCCCCCTCTCCACCCAACTCGGGCTGATTGAAGGAATCAGCAAACTAGTGCAGGGGATCCCATCACCATCCTGGTCCTGCCACGCGAACCACCCCTAACCCCAACCCTCCCGGCTGCACCCCCAGAGCAATGCCCCCAGCCCCCTGAGCCCCTCTCCACTCCCAGGACCCCTTCGGCCAGCGGCTGAAGAAGATCATGGCCCAGATCCAGCAGCACATGGGGAATGCGGGGCTGCCGCAGGACTTCGGCACGCAGACCTACGAGCAGCAGGTGGTGGAGCTGGAGAAGAGAGGTGAGGAGGCGGCGGCAGGGGGAGCGCCAGGGGGGCACGGGGCTGGCGGGGGCCGGGTGTCACCACCCCTGGTCCCCGTTCCCTCACCAGCGGCCGAGAGGTTTTGCCGCAAGACGCGGGCGTGCGCGCTGCACCTGCGCAAGTACAACGACGCCTTGCTGATCAACGACGCGGTGCGCATGGTCGACGCCTTCCAGCACCTGCAGCAATTCTACGCCATGGAGAGGGACATGAAGGACCCCACTGAGCGCTTCCTGGCCACCACCTTTGAGGGTATAAGAAGAAGGGCCCCCGGGGGGGTGCAGCAGGGTGGGCGCGGGCTGGTTTGGGGGGCACGGAGCACCCCTCACACCCCGTTTGCATGCGCAGAGAACAGGGCGAGCCTGCTGGCGCTCGCTGGGTGCCAGCGCTACGAGAACCCTCGGCTGAGCAAGCTGGAGGAGATCCTGCGGGAGAACTTCCAGCCCCAGGGCTCTTCTCGGGGCATCGTCTTCACCAAGACCCGGCAGAGCGCCCACAGCCTGTTCAGCTGGCTGCAGGATGCGGCCACGCTGAGCGGGCAGCACATCAGGGCGGCTGTCCTCACCGGGGCCGGCTACAGCAACCAGACCAGGCACATGACGCAGGTGAGGGGATTGGGATGTGCCCAAAGCCACCGTGCTACTGCTCTGGGGTGGGAGCCTTGCTGCAGCCCTGAGGATAGGAAGGTGCTGGATGGGGTCCGGCTCATTTTGGGGGTGCCGCAAGGGGCTTAGAACCGCTACACGGCCCCTGCTCCAGGAGCATTTCCCCCTTTGTCCCCGCAGAACGAGCAGCAGGACGTGATCAGGCAGTTCCGCAATGGAGACCTCAACCTGCTCTTCTCCACCAGCGTGGCCGAGGAGGGCCTGGACATCCCCAAGTGCAACATCGTGGTGCGCTACGGGCTGATGACCAACGAGATCGCTATGGTGCAGGTAGCGCCCAGGCTCCCTCCAGCCACCCTGCCTGCTCCCTGCTGGGATACCCCAAAGCCACCCGGGGGGCACGTGGGGACCCTATTACACCCTGTACATCCGCTGGCAGCTCCCTGGGGATGAGCCTGACCCCGGGCAGAGCCTTGCAGAGGTGCAGAGGCACGGGAGGAGCGTGCCGTGCCCTGCGGGACCTGCAGCACGAGCGCAAACGCTGACTGCAGTGTTTGTCCCTTCTGCTACAGGCCCGGGGCCGTGCCCGTGCCGAGAACAGCGTTTACTCTGTGGTGGCCAAAGCCAACAGCAGGGAGGTCTCCCGGGAGCAGCTCAACGAGAACCTGGTGGAGCTCATGGAGAAAGCCATCAAGGCGGTGCAGGCCATGCCCGAGCGCGAGTACCGCCTGAAGGTGAGCGCAGCAGAGGGACAAACAGCTCCTTCCCCTGCCTGCTGCTGGGCACAGCCCTCTCTGCGCCCTGGTTTTGGCTGCCTGCTCTCCCCGTGGGGCGGCACCAGCTTCTGGGAAGGGGTGGCACAAGCTGCATGGGGCAGCGTGTGCGGGTCTGTCCTGCCGTGCGGCTCACGCTCTCCAGGACAGCGCATCCTTCCGTGACCATGTCTCCTGTTGCCTCTGCGGTCTGCCCCTGCCTGTTACTCTGTGCTGACTCTGTCCTCCTTCTTGTCTCGCCTCCCCTGCCCTCTTTGCAGATCGCGGAGCTGCAGCGAAACGCCGTCATCAGCTGGCAAGTGAAAGAAGCCAAGATCAGCGAGAGGCGGCAACTGCACGACCCGGACGACGTTTACTTCTACTGCGTCAACTGCAACGTGGCCGTGTGCTGCGGCAGCGACATCCGCACCGTGGAGGGCATGCACCACGTGAACATCAACCCCAATTTCAGGTCAGAGCCAGCGGGCAGAGGCCAGCTCTCAGCTGTCACCCACATGAGCCACCGCGCTCTCTGCGCAGGACGGGCAGGGGTGGCAGCAGCCTGGGGACGTTGCTCCGGAGAGGTCACAGGGGCTCTGTGGGGCTGTGTGACCATGCGAGCAGAAGTGCTGATGGCGTTTTGTCCCCTGGACCATCCTCCTCAAGGTGTTTTTTGTCCCTTTAACCTTGCAGGCGCTACTACACGGTCTCGCTGGGGAAAATAAGCTTCCCGCGGACGTTCAAGGA